ATATATATATATATATATATATATATATATATATATATATGTATGTATACACACACGTATTATATACACACATAAATATACACACATACACACACACCCATATATGCATACACACACACACACACACATATATATACATATATATATATATTTATTTATTTATGCTCACCCCAATTCGACAATGTAGCAAAAACAGTGGCATTTAGTATTATTACGTAGATTTTACATTATGGGTTGCCGCCCATAGAAAAGGTAAAAGCTATCTTTAATGATAAATAACTAGCTCCCGGTACAGGTGTACATCGGTGGCGGACTCGAGGGTAAATTGCAAGTTTGCTAGCCTATACTCAAACATAGTCAAAATAAAAATGTATGTTCTTTTTTATACCGACATGGTTGTAGCTTCTTCTCTTCAGAAGAATTTATATTCCTGTACGTTTAACAAATTACAATTTAAACAAGATAATCTGATATTACAAACCCTCACCCTGTTGCGCCATATCTATGTATATATAGTCGATTCCGCTGGTTGTTGTTGTATTATAGGAGTGTAATATTAACAGATAAGATAGTATAATACATACTCAAAGTATCGAATGCACGCCATCGTGTCGGGATTCAATATTTCGACATTAATTATGTCATCATCAGGAATGATGATATAATTACCCTTGAGTCTGCCACTGCTGTACACCTGTACCGGAGTTGAGGATAGCTTTTAGGTAATAGACTAATACCTTTTCTATGGGCGGCAACCCATAATTAATGTCGAAATATTAAATCCATCCCGACATTTCGATACTTGGAGTATGTATTATACTATCTTATCTGAGATTAATCAGTGGACCTTTCGGTAATAATAACAGCTATTACATACTCATCAGGTGAAGTGTAGCCGAGCGCTGAAGGTCCACGTGTTATGTGTAAAGTTAATCGTATGTATGGGGTTCAAATATCTCTCTCGTATTTTTGTATTATTATTATTATTATTATTATTATTATTATTATTAATATTTTATTATTATTTTTTTCCATGCGATTATTATATTATTATTATTATTATTATTATTATTATTATTATTATTATTATTATTAACTTTTTATTATTTAGGCATAAGCATCTATAAAATACTTATTCTCATATTTTATTATTTTTCATAATTAGGCCTATTATAATTTTTTTTTTTTTTTTTTTTTGGTATAAAATTGAGACAGAAAATTGTGACATATACGACAAGAAATATTGAAAACACATACAATTTGCATCTTATTTCTCCACTCAATTCGTTAAACGAGTGTTATCATCATGGACTTAGGTGGCAAGCCCATCAATCATTGTTGCATGCCGTCCAGACCTACCGCTTCCTGTCTGTCCAACAAAATGTGGCACACGGGTCGAGTTGGCCGGCCTAGCGAACCAACTCGGTTCAAACGATTCGCTCGATTTAGCTCCGTCAGATGCGACCAAAAAATATATAAATGACGTTCTAAAATGTACATTTTACTTCTGATCAGCACCAAGTTCAAGGAAGGCCGAGATACATGTACAAGTGTCAAAGTGTGAAACTTTGAAGTCAATCGGTCTAGTAGTTTATGAGTTATGTGGCCGGAAGTACAGACAGCCCCACACTGAGACAGACCTACAGACCTACCCCACAGAGGTACAGACCAGCGGTATGGCGCCAGAAATTTGCCGACGAGGGTTCCGATGTGTCCGAAAGAAAGGTCTGAACCAAATGGCCGACGAAGTCTCAGTCGACATCATGGAATTTAAAAAAAAAATCATTTAATTGGGTTATGGAGAGTTTCATGGTTTAGTAATCAAAATAACGTTATTTGGATAAGCAAATTATATTATTTTAAATTTCGATCCAACGGCCCAGGTCTGTCCGACGGGAGGAAAATGCCTGCAATCGGTACAACTTGTTCACCCAAAACTACCAGGGAGACGAGGGCGCATTCAGATTATGTACTCGGCATAAAATGCTTTCGTAACATATTGTTCTCGGCACATGTTCACATACCACACCGAACGAAAAAGTTCTTGAAATACGATCATTCAGATTAAAAAACCATGTTCTTGGCATTTATACATGTGTAACATTTTGAGAGGAGCTCAGAGTCACTGTAGGCCTAACTTTATTTCCATTTTATTAAATTTGTCTCTTATACGATTCCAGGGTCTTCGTGGAAATCCCAAGATTGTCGGATACCTTTTGGAAAAGTTGCTTATTCCCAGATCTTTTGGTATTTTGTGCTTCTATCTCCCTTCTTCCCAAACTTCAACTACGCAATTCATTTTCGATGACTGCACTCCATGTGCTTCCTCTGTCAGAACATGTTTTCAGAATTTTGTTTTGTTCCAAAAGATTTAGGCCTACAGCATAAATTAATCAAGAGAACAGTAATACTGCTGTATTATAAAAGCACATAGAAAATATTTTTAGATTAAATTTCAAAATTTCCCGAATTTTTTACGCTTGCAGAAGTGATAATCTAATAAATTTTTATATTTGCACATGTGTACATTGCGCCTCGGAAAAATGTCAAAGCAGGTCAGGTCACGTCACTGAAGCCCGCCCAGTTATAACATTTTATGCTCGGCACACGTTCAGACTTCATTCCAGAGTCGTAGTTCGAAAACATTTTGTTCCGAGAACGTGGTTTAACTGGGTTCTAGCTAGAACATTCTGTGCTCGACATAAATTCCATTAGCACACGTTCAGACTACAAAAAATGACGTGTGCCGAGAACATTATGTGCCGAGAACACAGTCTGAATGCCCAGGTTGTAGCAGCTCTTGGCAGACTGCGGCCTGGTAGCAAAGTAATTATAATTTATACTACACAGGGCGTAATAGTAGTAGTATGCATAGGTACACTTTTTCGTTATAAAAAAATGTTAGCTTTCGCACACACATTGCTGAAGATTTGCTTATTAAAAGAGACACAAGTAGTAAAACCATTTTTAGTATAGGCAAGGAAGCGATACCATGTTCTTTATTCGCGCCTCATCTTCAAGCTGCCTTACATATTTTTTATGCAGGGATCCATGTTCTTTATTCGCGCCTCATCTTCAAGCTGCCTTACATATTTTTTTATGCGGGGATATTTTCATTTAAGTAATCTCTCCTGCTATCTTCTTCACCAACTAATCAAAACCCTTTCTCTCATCTTATTTTTAACTGCTATTTTTAACTGTTGTAGCAACATCATGGGCTACAGAGCCTGTAACGCGTCTTTTCTGAATAATCTCCAATTTTTATCACTCAGTCCTCTGGCTATAATTTCGATATGCCTCACAGTACCTAGTTGTTGTGTCTGACTAACCCAGCGACTGTTAAAGGTTCACCCAGGAGCCGTCTAAAGATTCTATTTGTAGATAAGTCAGAATACATGCATAATAATTTTTGTTACTTGACTGCAAATTGAAAGGAAATATATGTCTCTTCGAATTGAATATAATTTAATCTTCAAATTTATCTAGTAGCCCTGACATCAGATCATTGAGCGATAGCTTTGAATGCAGATAGAAACGTTCTCTTTCTCCTCAAATTGATCTCCTTTTGTGCCTAGAAAAACGTAGTAATACATTTGAATTTGAATTTTATGATTGACTGATTAAATCAATTTCACAAATATAATACTCTACATACAGTAAACCAGTTCACATTACAAAGACTAAACAAAATATTAAAACATATTTATTATAAACGTGGAATACTAACCTTGTTTACAAAATATGGATTTATCTAATATAAGATCTTTTAATTTCCTTGATGCTGTGGTATCAAGCAAATGCAGCCCGTCTATAATTCCACTAAAGTCCACGATAGATTGGTTAACCAAAATTTCCAGGCAGATCCAAAGCTGAACAGCACTGCTTCTAGGTGATTGCCTGTTGATTTCATATACATACACAAAGATAAAAACAATATTAAAAATGTGCACAGATATTTATAAAAAAATATTTTAAAGTTTTGACACTCCATACCTTAATATCATCAATGCATAAGCCTACATCTTCGTTTACATCAGTCATTTCCCACTTCAAAACATGTGAGTAAGTGTTATATATTGTGTGGAGCGCCACCAGGCGAGGGTATTGAATAAAAGGGCAGACATTCATGATGGCGGCTGTTCGAGCATAGTGCTGTGTAGTCTCAGTTATTCTGTGTTGTAGTCTCGGTCACATATACACAATTGGCGACCTATCAACCTATAGTTGATTGCTGAACGTCACAAGTTTTGGACGGCGTATCAAGGAGAGGGAGAAACGATTGCGGACTTATAGTTCATCTTAAAAAGTTGGCATCGACGTGCTCGTTTAGTAATTTTTTAAACGATGCTTTGCGAGATATGCTTGTGTCTGGCCTTCATGTAAAAATGGCTAGGACACAAACTCATTTGTTGTACGTGGCTGATTTCACATTTGAGAGTGCTAAGAAAAAATGTATATCTGATGCGTTAGCTCGTATTGCAAATAAGCAATATATGGATGCCAGTACGTCTTCTACTACAATGGAAAATCATCGGCTTCAGCATGCGGGAGGAAGGACAAGCACACCAAGGAAACCAAATTACTATGGCAAGTCTGCATCGAGTCCAGCTTTGAGATGCAAATGCTGTGGCAGTAACCATTCGGCTGACAGGTGTATAATTTGTTTTGGCTGTAAGCAGAGGGGACATGTTAAGGCTGTTTGCACGGAAAAAAAAAGGCAGTTCGAGTCGTTCAGGCCCTGCACAAATTAAGACTGGACATAGCAAATTCAAACATAAATCTAGGCAGGATTCAAGATATGTAGAATCATATGATGTAGATGAGTATGAAAAGGTCATTGATGATGTAGACTGTAGAGGGTTATTTAGAAGTGGGGATGATAAAAATAAACCCATTAAGCTAAATATTGATGTTGTTAATGCTACTATAGAGATGGAGCTTGGTACTGGAGTCTCAAGGTCCACAATCTCTAAAGC